TTTATTTAATCTTTTTTGGTATTTTGTTGCTGTTCGCCATTTGACTTTTGAAACGGTTAAATCTATGATAAAAGAGCGATAGATGAAGTGTTCTGAATTTGATTTATATTATTTTATTTAAAATGCAACCTAACTGTTATCCACTAACCACTAAATTGCTTAAGTCAACGCCTTGATCACCAACTTATAATGTAATTGCATTTATTTATTTTTTGCAAATCCCTTTATTGGTCCAACTGATCGATTATTATCGAAATGAATTGGGTCTATTTCGCTTAGAATTTCCGTTTGTTGTGTAGTAGAATTTGCCGAATTAAACTCAGTTATATTATATTTTTCATCTTTCATTGTTTTTATAACCCTAAACCCATCAAAAATGGGTAATAAGAGTATATTGTAATTGTGCAACATGCAAATGTATGTAACAGGCAGCTGGGAGCATCTCCGACCGCACAAAGTACATATATACTTGATCAGCATCAATAGCCGAGTCGATCTAGCCATGTCCGTCTGTCTGCCCGTCCGTCTGTCCGTATGAATGAACGCAACGCTCTCAGAACGTATAAGAACTAGAGACTTGAAATTTTAGACGTAGGTCCTCCTAGTGCCTGCGCAGATCGAATTTGTATCCGATAAGCGATAACAAACTCCGTTTCCAAGCAATCTATAAAAATCGATATCGACATCCTGTTTCTTTTTAGCAATTTTGGTAAATATTAAGAGCATGATATGTTGCTTCAAGAATATTATATATATATCAAGTATCTTTCATTTTATACCTATCGCCACCTCCCTGCTAACACCGCACAACTATAAATCAAGTTTATAACCCAACCTATATTGCCAACCAACCTAAGCTACTATTTTAATGCAATTGACTTTTCGAGAATATTCAATTATTCTTTGGTACAATAAGATATACGGTAAAAATTTCATTAAGATCGGTTAAGCGAAAACCAAAGTTATATGTAACTACGCAATTGGATGGGGCAGCTAGCGAATACTTTTCTATATTCATGTCACACACACATTCATGCGCGTCTGCTTTGCATTCTATCGCATTCTAGCAGCATAGTAATTGCTTTTTTCTGTAATGCTATTTTAGTTCGTTTTTTTCTCATAAGTACTTAATTTTTGGTGTGGCTACTGAGTAGAGGCAGAGCAAGTGGTGCGGTCTGTCGCGAGTTCGAGCCCTACCGGGGAAAGTATTTTTTTTTAATTTGATGAAAGTGTACGCTAAGACAGGGTTTCGGGAAATTCCACCCGCAAGTATGAAAAAATACTTGTATGAAACCTTTTTGTTTACTATTCTATCGGCCACAAACTCAATTTCATAATTTTTTGTTCAAATTCATTTGAGAACCTTCAACACATACTTTTCCAAAAATGTATACCTCCTTGGAGGAAATGGGAGTCAAAGATTTGGTGGATGACGTTGTTCTCAAATTCATTTTCAAGGATATATATGAAAAATCATTTGAGACGTGTTTCACATTTTCGCACAATCCAAGACTCCTCGGTAGAAATGCGATTCTAAGATTTTTTGGTTCAGTTTTAAGTTTTGTCCGATTTACCACAAACTTATTTTTAGAGCTCTACATAAGAACATAATGAATACGTGTTTAAGCTATTTGGGAAATTCCACCCACAACAGTGGTTAATTGGCGAAAAAGGTTGGTATGATACTTTTTTGTTAACCATCGGATCGGCATCAAACTCCTTTTCAAAGATCTTTGCTCAAATTAATTTGAGGGGTGGTTCACATTTTTTGGAAAATCTCTCCCGCCTTGGTGGAAATGGGTATCGCGCTTAGTCTAAGTTGCTTGTTCCCTGTACGATCAGTTTCAAAATTATTTTCAAAGCTTTTTGAGAACATTTTTTTTATACGTGCCACAAGCAAGGCCGGGCTATACCCGCTAGTAATATATATTGTATCAGACTACATTTGAAAAGTTGTACACCACATTGGATAACATATTTGTATTGTTTGTACTCTAACCATTTCCTATGTTATTAAAGATCATATACTTATTGATTGATTAATTTAAATGTGCATCTGCTTGCTGTTTTATGTAATGTTTAATTAATATTTGTATAGTCAAATTTGGTGCTAGACATAGATAATCCAGTATAATTATATGAATAGATTTAAAGTATTAAGGAATTTTTCTTTAAACGTTGACTGCATTCTGAGCTGCAGTCTTGTCATCTACAATAATATTGGCAGCTGTTGTGGTCGTGTTGAAGCTAAGCAACTGCTTGGTTGATGAACTGGATGAGTAGCTGTCACTTGAGCTGCGTGTAGAAGCTGAGTTGCCGCTAATTGGACTATCGAGCATATCTGCAAGTCAATGAATAGTAAAGGCACTTTGTGATAAGCTAATTTCAGATGCAGCCTTACCCGGAAGTGAGCTGACATTATTGCTCTTTAAGTCAACACCGCAGTAAGGAGAGGCTTCATTGGTAGGTCCAACAATATTACCCGCAGATGTGGATTTTTTTTGTAAACTTTGACTCCCTTTTACCATGGTACTATAACCCAACGCAGAAGCGTTGGGTATGTTCATGTCCTGATTTAAAACAACACAACTGCAACTTAAAGGATCACCTCATTTAGCCCGGTCGGATGGATACAATGGACTAAGTATAGTGTTTTGGGTGTCATCAGGTGTATAGTAATCAGAGTCCTCGGCACTAAAGTTGGCTACCAATAAGCATGGATCTCTCGCTGGCGCATCACAATCAGCAGACTCGGTCCTATGCCTATCATGCTTTAACGAGGAAATCTTTTCCGAATTGGACTCCTGCAAATCATTGCATTCACCACCAATGCTAACGGTGACTGCTGCATCATTAACTTGTATGTTTTTTACTATATCCTCGCCGTCGCTGTCGCCGAGAGTATCCACAACTAGTTTAAGCGATTTGCCTGAGGTATTTTTGATCTTCATTCCTGATGAGAGCAGCGGTGACAATTTTTCGTTCTTGCTATCCTCATCGTCGTCTAGAACACCAGTGTTGTCTTTCTGATAATTAAGACGCTCGTTAATAATATGCAGCTCCTGTTTTTCTAGCGAGAAACTAAGCGAAGGATTAAACTCGGACTTGAGTGAGCTACAGGCAGCCGAGGACTTCTTGGAATTGCTTTCAATTTCCATCAATGTTAGTGTGGAGCTATCCACATTAGGGAGTGTAAGGGTACCCACCTCATTGGTGGTTGTGCATGTTGAAACATGCTGCTTTATCTTGGGCCGGCGTTGGCTACTTGACTTAAGTGGTGACGTAGCTTTAATATCATCACTTGCCATCGTGAAGGCGGCCAACATAATATTCTCACTTGAGTCATTGTCGCCTTTCCTATAGAAATATTAAAAAAAAAAAGGAATAGGTTAAAGTACATATTCATTAGAATAGACATAGATTAATAACAATTTTACATATTGACAATTTTTCATGAGTTCATTCGAGTATCTATAGAGTCGTTAGACAGATCACCTAGACTTGATGTGTTTGAAAATGTATTATAATACCATCGTGGTTAGAGCTATATAAACAGCAGCGCACCTGCACGTTTCGCATGTATTTGTATGAGGCGTCTACGCCTATGTATGTGTAGACAAAAATAAAGTGAACTTAAATTACGAAATACAAGAAATTTTGAGAACGGTGAGCGCAGTAAATGTGCGACTAGAGATTCGCACTCGGGCTGCGACAAATACCTAATCATACCGAAGAATATGAGCACCAACTCAAGTAGCTGTAGCCTAAGCATCGCTATAAGTCTGTACTCATACAAGTTAATTTCAAGGTTTATTAAACGATGAAAATAATATAATTTTTGCGGAAGCAAGTCTCATGAGGTGTTGCAATGCTTCTTATTGGGACTGTATGAATTTATTTGTTGTTAACTCTTCCCCCTTTGATTTTAAGCTCGCCTTCAAACGATCATCAGAAGAAGAGTAACAGGTAGAAGGGAAAAAGGTTGGCATCTGTATTTTGTATTTGGATATGCGTTGGTTCTTTTTTGGGTCTCTTTTGTTCTTTGTTCAGTTGCAGCTTTATATATTTTTTTTTTCTCTTCAATATGTGTAATACACAGGTAAGAAGGATGGCAACTGTGAAGAGAATTGTGAAACCGAATCTATTTGCTATAAAGTGCGTCTGGAGTTTTCGCATGTTTTTTTTTGTTGTTGATGTGCAATTCTTCCAATGCTTCCAGGAAAATAATCTTAATTCCTTCGTTTTCTATTGGGGTTATTAGAATTGTGGGATTTCCTAGGGTCATGACGGTGACCTCTAAGTTGCAGAACTCTTGTTTGTTGATGAATAAGGTTTCGTTCCAGTAGTTAACCAGTATTTTTAGAGCACTACATAAGAACATAATGAATACGTGTTTTAGCTATTTGGGAAATTCCACCCACAACAGTGGTTAATTGGCGAAAAAGGTTGGTATGATACTTTTTTGTTAACCATCGGATCGGCATCAAACTCCTTTTCAAAGATCTTTGCTTAAATTAATTTGAGGGGTGGTTCACATTTGTTGGAAAATCTATCCCGCCTTGGTGGAAATGGGTATCGCGCTTAAATTCATTTCCAAGGATCCATAAAAAAATCATTCGAGACCTGTTTTACATTTTTTGCAGAATCAATGATGATGCAATCGGCAAAAGTGCAATTCAAAGATTTTTTTGGTGGTTTTAATTTTGCTTCAAAATTATTTTTAAAGGTATACATACAAACCTAATGAATACATGTTCTAACGATTTCGGGAATTTGTATGAAAGTTGCTTGTTCCCTGTACGATCAGTTTCAAAATTATTTTCAAAGCTTTTTGAGAACATTTTTTTTATACGTGCCACAAGCAAGGCCGGGCTATACCCGCTAGTAATATATATTGTATCAGACTACATTTGAAAAGTTGTACACCACATTGGATAACATATTTGTATTGTTTGTACTCTAACCCTTTCCTATGTTATTAAAGATCATATACTTATTGATTGATTAATTTAAATGTGCATCTGCTTGCTGTTTATGTAATGTTTAATTAATATTTGTATAGTCAAATTTGGTGTTAGACATAGATAATCCAGTATAATTATATGAATAGATTTAAAGTATTAAGGAATTTTTCTTTAAACGTTGACTGCATTCTGAGCTGCAGTCTTGTCATCTACAATAATATTGGCAGCTGTAGTGGTCGTGTTGAAGCTAAGCAACTGCTTGGTTGATGAACTGGATGAGTAGCTGTCACTTGAGCTGCGTGTAGAAGCCGAGTTGCCGCTAATTGGACTATCGAGCATATCTGTAAGTCAATGAATAGTAAAGGCACTTTGTGATAAGTTAATTTCAGATGCAGCCTTACCCGGAAGTGAGCTGACATTATTGCTCTTTAAGTCAACACCGCAGTAAGGAGAGGCTTCATTGGTAGGTCCAACAATATTACCCGCAGATGTGGATTTTTTTTGTAAACTTTGACTCCCTTTTACCATCGTACTATAACCCAACGCAGAAGCGTTGGGTATGTTCATGTCCTGATTTAAAACAACACAACTGCAACTTAAAGGATCACCTCTTTTAGCCCGGTCGGATGGATACAATGGACTAAGTATAGTGTTTTGGGTGTCATCAGGTGTATAGTAATCAGAGTCCTCGGCACTAAAGTTGGCTACTAATAAGCATGGATCTCTCGCTGGCGCATCACAATCAGCAGACTCGGTCCTATGCCTATCATGCTTTAACGAGGAAATCTTTTCCGAATTGGACTCCTGCAAATCATTACATTCACCACCAATGCTAACGGTGACTGCTGCATCATTAACTTGTATGTTTTTTACTATATCCTCGCCGTCGCTGTCGCCGAGAGTATCCACAACTAGTTTAAGCGATTTGCCTGAGGTATTTTTGATCTTCATTCCTGATGAGAGCAGCGGTGACAATTTTTCGTTCTTGCTATCCTCATCGTCGTCTAGAACACCAGTGTTGTCTTTCTGATAATTAAGACGCTCGTTAATAATATGCAGCTCCTGTTTTTCTAGCGAGAAACTAAGCGAAGGATTAAACTCGGACTTGAGTGAGCTACAGGCAGCCGAGGACTTCTTGGAATTGCTTTCAATTTCCATCAATGTTAGTGTGGAGCTATCCACATTAGGGAGTGTAAGGGTACCCACCTCATTGGTGGTTGTGCATGTTGAAACATGCTGCTTTATCTTGGGCCGGCGTTGGCTACTTGACTTAAGTGGTGACGTAGCTTTAATATCATCACTTGCCATCGTGAAGGCGGCCATCATAATATTCTCACTTGAGTCATTGTCGCCTTTCCTATAGAAATATTAAAAAAAAAGGAATAGGTTAAAGTACATATTCATTAGAATAGACATAGATTAATAACAATTTTACATATTGACAATTTTTCATGAGTTCGTTCGAGTATCTATAGAGTCGTTAGACAGATCACCTAGACTTGATGTGTTTGAAAATGTATTATAATACCATCGTGGTTAGAGCTATATAAACAGCAGCGCACCTGCACGTTTCGCATGTATTTGTATAAGGCGTCTACGCCTATGTATGTGTAGACAAAAATAAAGTGAACTTAAATTGCGAAATACAAGAAATTTTGAGAACGGTGAATCATACCGAAGAATATGAGCACCAACTCAAGTAGCTGTAGCCTAAGCATCGCTATAAGTCTGTACTCATACAAGTTAATTTCAAGGTTTATTAAACGATGAAAATAATATAATTTTTGCGGAAGCAAGTCTCATGAGGTGTTGCAATGCTTCTTATTGGGACTGTATGAATTTATTTGTTGTTAACTCTTCCCCCTTTGATTTTAAGCTCACCTTCAAGCGATCATCAGAAGAAGAGTAACAGGTAGAAGGGAAGAAGCTTGGCATCTGTATTTTGTATTTGGATATGCGTTGGTTCTTTTTTGGGTCTCTTTTGTTCTTTGTTCAGTTGCAGCTTTATATATTTTTTTTCTCTTCAATATGTGTAATACACAGGTAAGAAGGATGGCAACTGTGAAGAGAATTGTGAAACCGAATCTATTTGCTATAAAGTGCGTCTGGAGTTTTCGCATGTTTTTTTTGTTGTTGATGTGCAATTCTTCCAATGCTTCCAGGAAAAGAATCTTAATTCCTTCGTTTTCTATTGGGGTTATTAGAATTGTGGGATTTCCTAGGGTCATGACGGTGACCTCTAAGTTGCAGAACTCTTGTTTGTTGATAAATAAGGTTTCGTTCCAGTAGTTAACCAGTATTTTTAGAGCTCTACATAAGAACATAATGAATACGTGTTTTAGCTATTTGGGAAATTCCACCCAACAGTGGTTAATTGGCGAAAAAGGTTGGTATGATACTTTTTTGTTAACCATCGGATCGGCATCAAACTCCTTTTCAAAGATCTTTGCTCAAATTAATTTGAGGGGTGGTTCACATTTTTTGGAAAATCTATCCCGCCTTGGTGGAAATGGGTATCGCGCTTAAATTCATTTCCAAGGATCCATAAAAAAATCATTCGAGACCTGTTTTACATTTTTTGCAGAATCAATGATGATGCAATCGGCAAAAGTGCAATTCAAAGATTTTTTTGGTGGTTTTAATTTTGCTTCAAAATTATTTTTAAAGGTATACATACAAACCTAATGAATACATGTTCTAACGATTTCGGGAATTTGTATGAAAGTTGCTTGTTCCCTGTACGATCAGTTTCAAAATTATTTTCAAAGCTTTTTGAGAACATTTTTTTTATACGTGCCACAAGCAAGGCCGGGCTATACCCGCTAGTAATATATATTGTATCAGACTGTATTTGAAAAGTTGTACACCACATTGGATAACATATTTGTATTGTTTGTACTCTAACCCTTTCCTATGTTATTAAAGATCATATACTTATTGATTGATTAATTTAAATGTGCATCTGCTTGCTGTTTTATGTAATGTTTAATTAATATTTGTATAGTCAAATTTGGTGCTAGACATAGATAATCCAGTATAATTATATGAATAGATTTAAAGTATTAAGGAATTTTTCTTTAAACGTTGACTGCATTCTGAGCTGCAGTCTTGTCATCTACAATAATATTGGCAGCTGTTGTGGTCGTGTTGGAGCTAAGCAACTGCTTGGTTGATGAACTGGATGAGTAGCTGTCACTTGAGCTGCGTGTAGAAGCCGAGTTGCCGCTAATTGGACTATCGAGCATATCTGCAAGTCAATGAATAGTAAAGGCACTTTGTGATAAGTTAATTTCAGATGCAGCCTTACCCGGAAGTGAGCTGACATTATTGCTCTTTAAGTCAACACCGCAGTAAGGAGAGGCTTCATTGGTAGGTCCAACAATATTACCCGCAGATGTGGATTTTTTTTGTAAACTTTGACTCCCTTTTACCATCGTACTATAACCCAACGCAGAAGCGTTGGGTATGTTCATGTCCTGATTTAAAACAACACAACTGCAACTTAAAGGATCACCTCTTTTAGCCCGGTCGGATGGATACAATGGACTAAGTATAGTGTTTTGGGTGTCATCAGGTGTATAGTAATCAGAGTCCTCGGCACTAAAGTTGGCTACTAATAAGCATGGATCTCTCGCTGGCGCATCACAATCAGCAGACTCGGTCCTATGCCTATCATGCTTTAACGAGGAAATCTTTTCCGAATTGGACTCCTGCAAATCATTGCATTCACCACCAATGCTAACGGTGACTGCTGCATCATTAACTTGTATGTTTTTTACTATATCCTCGCCGTCGCTGTCGCCGAGAGTATCCACAACTAGTTTAAGCGATTTGCCTGAGGTATTTTTGATCTTCATTCCTGGTGAGAGCAGCGGTGACAATTTTTCGTTCTCGCTATCCTCATCGTCGTCTAGAACACCAGTGTTGTCTTTCTGATAATTAAGACGCTCGTTAATAATATGCAGCTCCTGTTTCTCTAGCGAGAAACTAAGCGAAGGATTAAACTCGGACTTGGGTGAGCTACAGGCAGCCGAGGACTTCTTAGAATTGCTTTCAATTTCCATCAATGTTAGTGTGGAGCTATCCACATTAGGGAGTGTAAGGGTACCCACCTCATTGGTGGTTGTGCATGTTGAAACATGCTTCTTTATCTTGGGCCGGCGTTGGCTACTTGACTTAAGTGGTGACGTAGCTTTAATATCATCACTTGTCATCGTGGAGGCGGCCATCATAATATTCTCACTTGAGTCATTGTCGCCTTTCCTATAGAAATATTAAAAAAAAAATGGAATAGGTTAAAGCACATATTCATTAGAATAGACATAGATTAATAACAATTTTACATATTGACAATTTTTCATGAGTTCATTCGAGTACCTATAGAGTCGTTAGACAGATCACCTAGACTTGATGTGTTTGAAAATGTATTATAATACCATCGTGGTTAGAGCTATATAAACAGCAGCGCACCTGCACGTTTCGCATGTATTTGTATAAGGCGTCTACGCCTATGTATGTGTAGACAAAAATAAAGTGAACTTAAATTGCGAAATACAAGAAATTTTGAGAACGGTGAATCATACCGAAGAATATGAGCACCAACTCAAGTAGCTGTAGCCTAAGCATCGCTATAAGTCTGTACTCATACAAGTTAATTCCAAGGTTTATTAAACGATGAAAATAATATAATTGTTGCGGAAGCAAGTCTCATGAGGTGTTGCAATGCTTCTTATTGGGACTGTATGAATTTATTTGTTGTTAACTCTTCCCCCTTTGATTTTAAGCTCGCCATCAAGCGATCATCAGAAGAAGAGTAACAGGTAGAAGGGAAGAAGGTTGGCATCTGTATTTTGTATTTGGATATGCGTTGGTTTTATTTTGGGTCTCTTTTGTTCTTTGTTCAGTTGCAGCTTTATATATTTTTTTTCTCTTCAATATGTGTAATACACAGGTAAGAAGGATGGCAACTGTGAAGAGAATTGTGAAACCGAATCTATTTGCTATAAAGTGCGTCTGGAGTTTTCGCATGTTTTTTTTTGTTGTTGATGTGCAATTCTTCCAATGCTTCCAGGAAAAGAATCTTAATTCCTTCGTTTTCTATTGGGGTTATTAGAGTTGTGGGATTTCCTAGGGTCATGACGGTGACCTCTAAGTTGCAGAACTCTTGTTTGTTGATGAATAAGGTTTCGTTCCAGTAGTTAACTATGTAGTTGCCTCTCACGCGTTTCTCTTCTTCTTGCCATCTAATAGTACCGTTGAAGTCGTTCAGGAGTATAAATCCATCCTTGATTTCTTCGATCTCCGGGATGTGATCTGCATTGCTAAAGCCACAAGGCGCTTACTAACTTAGGAATACAATTACTAGTGTTCAAGGTTAGAATTTTTGATTTGTTACGAATTGTAATATAACGATATCTGTTACAATTGTTGTGTATGCCATAGATTGTTTAATTACAAACAGTTCGCGAAATTCGAAATGTATTTTATTGTTATTTTTCACTACTGGCTTCTAAATTTGGAACAGGGTTGTGCCATTATGCAAAATGGATATATCTGCAAATTCTAGCATTTCTTCAATATTTAACGGTGGCATATTATTTTTAAGATTATTATCGTTAACTACTTCTATTTCTTTTTCGCCATGTAGGGATTTATTTATTAAATTCAATTACGTCCATTGTATGGCGTACTTAATATTATTTCTTCTTTTATGAGCCTAATTTGATTTTGTAAGCTAATAGCTATTTCATCACTTATAAGAGATTCCTTTCTTATGCTATTGGTTAAATCATTTAAGATTTTCGCAAGTTTATTAATTCGATCTTTTAATTGCCTGTTTATGATAAGCTGTTTAATGTCGTTTTCTATAAGTTTGTTAATGTTGTCGGTAAGCATTATTAAGTCATCATTGTCCGGGCTGCCGGCTACATACTTCCAAGCTGTGCCTATAATGTTGATTGCTTTAGCCTTTCGATTATGGAAAAGTGATATTGTGTCGAAAGTGACATTAGCTTGCGTTATTTCGTGACGTAAAGTGTGGTAGAAAGTATTAGTTCTTAGGTCTTTTTCGGTGTAAAAAAGCAGATTATCTCATAAGTTGTTGATCTGTTGTAGCTCTATGACTTATTTCGTGTTCTCGATGTCTGTATTTTCGCTATTCTTTTCAGAATGGTGATTGTTTGTGCGTCTGTGTAGTTCAAGATTTCCAAGTGTCCTTCTGTTGTTTTTATTGTCATCATTAATAGGAATCTGTAATTGTTATGTATTTTTTATATTGCTTTTATTTTATTATTTTGTCTTTCTTTAACTATTTCCTTTTTGTATCTAGGTGATAGTTTGGTACCTAA